TTCCTGGAAAAACCAGGCAGTGAATCATGCTTGGGTTCATGTAGGTCACGAATCCACATCCTCCATGGATTTGATGGTGATAAGCGGGGTGCAGCCCTACCCAGATCCTGCACTATGAGTGGGCACCCAAATGGCAATAGGAGGCTATTTCTAAAGAAACTGGAACAGATACAGGGACTCAAGAATCAGCAATAAAGGTGAAATCATGAATGGAAAGGGGGTTCCCCATCCGTTATCCCCTAACTATGTGAATGAATGAGGACAGCAGTTGCTTATTTAGGGAATTGCCTGCATGTCCTCTGGGTCATGTACCTTCCACTGTGTGCACTCACGACTGCTTGAATGTAACAATGGCCAGGAGAAGGCCACCGGGCAGCGAGAATCTATACCTGGGGCTCCTCGTGCCACACAGTGCCGGCTGGTTCTCAGCAGATCTGCTCCGGTGCCCCAGACACACGCTTTTCTCTCCTGGTGAGCTCTAGGAGGGCGTCTTCCTGTTGCCTATCACCAGCTGCTCTTTATTTGCCATTTTAGAGAATTGAAGCTTATTTTCAGAAAATTATCATTTAGCAACTGTATGTGCCCATATGGCAATGGCAGAACTTCACCAGGCTTGGAAAAGAAGTTCCACGAGATCGATCCCCACTCGCTGGGAGGTTCAGCTGGGATCCCTATTTCTCATCTTGTTCGGTTTTTCAAAAGAAGCTTGATGGGACATGGACTGAATCAAGAACTGGGCCCAGGGGCGTTTTTTGCTCATCATCATTTGGATACTTGAAGCAAAGTAATCCTAACAAACGGGCTTTTAATAGTTTCAGAATTGACATCATTTATTCATCACATTTCCGTCTCTTATGCATATAGACAAACACTTCCCTATTGCACTGCGGGAAGGGTAAACCTCAGGGTCTTTAAACTCCTAGGGGCTATTACACAAAGCTTTCCCGTATATAAATGACTTAGAATTAAATGTTATTAAAGCTAAATTCTCTCATTTTAGGCTTTTGAGGGGAAAAGGCTAGTCAGATTTCTAATCTGGTCTTTTTCTGATTATCAAAATCCATCTTTTTGAGCCTCAGCTACATCATTTCTCAAGCAAGGTGGGCTGGGTGGGCGAATGCAGGCCTTTTCCATGGGATTCGGGCAGGTTTGGGTACTGTGCTCGCTGGCTCTGTGGCCCCAGAGGACTCCCAGGAGGGTTCAGGCAGCGTGCGGGCCACGTGTTTGGGTCCTCAGCTGGTGCGGGATACTCATTTCCTCTCTGCTTACAACCTCATGGTTCAAATCATATTTATTATAACTGCTCATGCAATAAAACAACCTTTTACTCCTGTGCCCTCTTGGGGCACTCAGTTTACAATACAGTTTACAATACAGTTTACAGTTTACAATACAACTCAGTTTACAATAACTTACAACAGTAGATAATGTACTACAGTAGTAACCCTAGGCCCCTCCCATGATTGGTCCCTCTCCCCCTTAACAGCTACACTATTGAGTGGCCTGGCCCTCGCTCTCACATAAAGGGACATATGACAGAGGAGCAGTCCACATGCTCCTTATTAAGATAGGGACCAAGAAGTTTGGGGACATAGACAGCATCACCCTTGCTTGAAAGCCAACGGATGATATGCTGGCTACAACAAGAGGGAAATTCTTATTGGTCATGAGCAGGAAGAAACCCTTGGAGATCTTAAGCTGTGTATCTTTGTATTCTGGTTCCTTGATGAGAAACATGTGGGGTGGGCAGGGATATAGCTGGGCACAGACACAGGTACAGTCAAGGACTCGGCACCGGCAGGACTGTCTTACCTTTTCTATTTACTTCAATCGCTGCACAGACCAGCTTCCTCCACACAGTGAGAGCCATGGCTGGTCCCGAACTTGGATCTCCCATATTCCAGCACTGGGAGGAGCTGACTCTTCATCAACACCTGTTTGAAAAATCCTTCGGAAAACTTGTGATTGGTTCGCTTCAAGCCTGGACCAGTTAACTGTGGCCTGGGGATGGGGTGATATAGAAAAATGGCTTATCCTGGGGTGGCCCTGCCCTTGGGTGAGGCAGAACATTCCCACAATAAGGGGGGAAGCCACCTTGTTCAGATGGCTCCGTGGGTGTCCACTACTCAAACAGGCAAGAGTGGATGTAGTTACAGATGTCACATTTCAACTGACCCTATCACAATTTAAACTTTGGAAAATCTGACTCTGTTCATTCTCTCCGATATTTTACCTCTTCCCTTGCCTTATTCCCTTGGCTCTTACTTTTCACTCTCATCAGGCCTCCCGTGCGGTTGTACAGGGGCTCTGTCTCTCCGGTCTTGCATCCTGAAATACCCAACAGAAAATCGAGTCTTGCCCTGTCCGTTCTGCCTGCTGTCTATAGCTTATTTCTCTCTCCTATGTTTGGGTCCCCTCTTCCTTGACTGATCTGGGTTCTGTAGATACACATGGCCCTGGGGACTGAGACAGCCGTGTGCCGCTCTCCGGTGGCGTCTGCTCCTGGCCTTTGTGGGCAGTGTGTGGCTGCCTGCCCGCTCCTGTCCACATCTCGGCGTCTCTGGATCACTCATTCCTGATCTCCTCTCTTTACCCTCAGAGATCTCATCCTTCACACCAAGTATCTGAACCTCCCCGGGTGTGTTTTCTTCACGCACCACGTTTACCATCTACCTGAGTGTATCTGTCTCCCCAGGTTGGCACATATTGTTGGAAAAAAGTGCACCAGCAGACAGAGCTACAAAACTAAAAATCTATATTATCAAACCTCCGTGAGTCTTTCCACGGCTTGGCAATCAAGTTACTTCTCTTCCCCACTGCCCACAACAGCTGATCCAAATATTTATCATCCAGTCGAAACTCTGTTTTAGAACTCTAGTTCCTCGGCACTGAGTAGGCAAACAGTCAGAATCCACAAATGAATGATTATTGACTAAAAAGACGAATTTGTTTATGGGAGAATAAGAACTGGACTGTAAACTGGGATATAATCTATACCTACAGCTCTTGAGTTCTGTTAAGCACCTAGATTTTTATGTTACGTGTTCCTTTCTGTGTAAATTGTTAAAATATTTCAAAAATAAGAAGTCTACCTAACCTCTAACGATGTTTATAAAGAATAAAGCTTGGCAGCCCATCCTGACATTTTGAAGAATGTCAATTTCCACCTTCAGTTAGTCTCACTGACAAAATGAGAGGAACCGCCTAGGTCCTAGGTTCCTCCTTCACATATTGTACAGGGTAAAATCACAAAATGATTTGATGAAACTATAATGAACATGAGGCATGAAAACATGTTATTTATACCAGTTAATAAATGCCTATATAGAGGATATCTAAATATTTATCTACTAGGAATCTTATCAACTAACAGGCGTCCTCAAACTATGGCCTGCGGGCCACATGCAGCCCACCTAGGACATTTATCTGGCCCGTTGGGTGTTTTGGCCTCCGCTGCCTGTCCTGCTTAGCAGCCGACTCATCCCGGGGCCAGCAGTCCAGCCCTCCAACTGTCTGAGGGACAGTGAACTGGCCCCCTGTTTAAAAAGTTTGAGGACCCCGGAACTATTACCTATCAAATGGTTCAACAAGGTTGAAGTGCTTAAAATCCTTCGGATTAAAATGACTATTGGAAAAGAAAAGAACAGTTATAAAGCTGACCAGGAGGGATTATAAATAGGATAAGTTTAGATTATAATTTGGACTAAGCTAGAATTTATTTATTTATTTTTAGAGGTACGCCTTTTTGAAAATAGCAAAGGACCTTGGGGGTCAGTGGTTAGCATTACATTAATGAAATTTAAAATACTATAAAAGGAAAATGATGAGGTATTCATGACCCTACTTTGTCGTAAAATAACTATATCCTTGTGAAGATTCTTCCCAATGCCCCAGGATGACGTCCTCACCCTCAGCCCCCTCCAATTATTCTGTTCACCCCCCAACCCTTTGGGCACAGTGCACTGGGCCAGGTGAGCACCTCCGCCTGCTGTGTGTGTACTTTAGGGGCAGCAAAGGCCTCCAGGTTGGCAGAATGAGGCATTTGCCTGACGTGCACAGAAGCGTTAGTCCTTCGGGCACAGCTGCATCCCTGCCCTTGGGCATGGCACCTGTAGCCCTAAGGAAATGTCTCCTGTCTCTTTAAACTCGGTACATGCCCCACGCTGTGAGGGGTGGTGAAATAAATTTGTATGCAGTTTATGATATTATAACTTTGTATGTGTCTGGAAAATATTTGGCAGCACGTATTTAGAATATTAAAAATATTCTTATCTGTGTACTCAGTTGTGGCTCTTCTGTGAGTGTGAGAAATTTATCAGATTTGTGTACTTGCTTGTTTATTTCAGTGTAATTTCTAACACTGAAAAATCAGGAAAGAGCTAATTGTGCCATTTGGTCACCAGCTAACTACCTCACGGTGTATTTATATTTTGTGATATTACACAAATATGAAAATGTTTTAGAAAATATTTAATGGGGTGGGAAACTACTGTACAATGACACTAAGTTAAAAATCTACACACAAATTACTCCACATGTTATGATTTCAGAGTCATGATGTATACGTTTCTGTGTGTATAATAAATCTAAAAAGTAGAAAAAAAATGCACCCACATGTTCTTATGATGACTTTTGGGTGGGGAAGCTAACCATGACTTTTATGTTTATGTTTATCTATACCTTCTAACTTTCCTACAATAATTATGTATGTAATTAGAAAAGTTCTGTCTTATAAGGGTACATGTGAAACTTACTAAATGTAGAATATAAATGTCTTAACACAATAACTAAGAAAATTCCGTAAAGGCTATGTTAACCAGTTTGATGAAAATATTTCAAATGGTATATAAATCCAACACATTATACCCCATGACTGCATTAATGTACACAGAAATGACTTAATTAAAAAATTAATCAAATAATGTGTTAGTTTAGTGTTATAAGGAATGAGGCATTTTTCTTCATTATCTGAAACATTTCATAAAATTCAAAATGGTATGTTTATTCTTTGTTGTGCAGTAAAGCGACATATTTTTTCTTTATCTTTTCAATGGCAATATACAAAATCTATAAACTATCCGTTTTACCAAATTTAAATGAAAACATGTTAATACTTATTCACAGTTGTCTTATTTAAAAAATAAATCAGCACATACAGGTATTTTGAATAATGAAGATTAAATACATTACAATAAAATTATTTTAAGGTAAATGTAACCTCGACAGATTTTTAATTAAGTAACAACAGTTTAGAGATTATATACATATATGTGTGCAGAGTATACACGTTTTTAAAATAGTAAAGGGATACTCTATGATATATGTATAATCTTTTTACCACAAACCATACACACTTCTCAGATATGACAGCAAACTCATAGGACTGGAAAGACGTTACTACCTGAGACCAGAGTAACATCTTTACAAGTAGTTTAACTTTTATATGTGACTTTTGTAACTCCATTATACAAAGAAGCCTTCTTACCAGCATAGCTTTGGCAGTGTACAGCTCTAAGACGCTGTATGAACATTTTGCAAGAAGTTCTGAAACTTGACAACTACTGCTTGGCAAATCTCTGTCCAAATTGTCACGTAGCAGGGGCAAGTGGGCCACGGTTGTTTACAGCCAACAGGCCCGAAAGCTTTGCTGTCCTTTTGAATATTAGGCAGAACTATGGACCGCTGAACTGCTGTTCCTCTAAAGGCTTAACATAGTCTAGATACCTTTATACAGAAGTCAAATATAATAGGCCAAGAGCAGACTAGGGGATTGCATTTCTGTCAGTAAAATTTCCCACATCAGTACATTCATCCAGGTTCTGAGATTGTTTTTTGAGTAGCCGTCATCTACCTAATGCAAAAGTAGTTTTGCATAATTGTGTTGCAAAGGGAAAGAAAAGCTTTTGTTCAGAGCTTCAGAGAAGGTGATTCAGTCCACATCATCCATTTTCTTGTTAAATTCTGGAAGGTCGTTAATGTTCATTTGGGGAAGCGCTATAGAGAAAGTTTCCCTTGCCCCTCCTTTCACAAGATGACTGCCCAGACAGGTTCTGAACGTGTCATTCGACCTCAAAACAGGGTGTGGGTTTCTTGGTGGACGAGTTGACATTATCGGAGGGGCGGTAGGAAAGGGTGCTCATTTTTGTTGAAAGGCCTGAGTGGGATTTGGCTTTGGGGGGAATATATTTTAAGAGCTGGAGAAAATATTTTTTAAATTTTTTCCCCAGAAAGCCATAGAAGAGAGGATTCAGGCAATTGTTAAAATAAGCTATGCAGATGGTGATGGGCATGGCGGTGTCCACAATGTCTGCGATCTTACAGTCATGGATGACTTTCAGCTGAATCAGCACGTCCAGAAAAGTGAATATCTGGTGCGGGACCCAGGAAAAGAAAAAGAAGAGCACGATGGCCATAATTATCTTAAAAATATCATCATTTCTCGGCTTGTTCTTCTGAATCTCATAAGCCTTCTTTAGGGCCTTCCAAATAAGAGTGTAACTCGTAAGAATGATCAGAAAAGGGAACAGGAAACCCAGTATATTTTTGGTTAGACCCAGACCTATGGGGAGGGTGGAATTTTGTGACTCGTAATGGAAAGCACACACCGTGGTATTGGTGTTCTCGATGAAAAACACATTTCGGTGGATTATAGCTGGCAAGCTGGCCAAGCCAGCCAGGAGCCAAATCACAATGCAGGTGACCTTGGCTACAAGCATGGTGCGGCGCAGGCGGGACTTCATCGGATGGACGATAGCCAGGTAGCGATCGATGCTGAGACACGTGAGGAGGAAGACGCTGGCGTAGAGGTTGAAACTGACACTGGCTGAAGCAATCTTACACAGGTAGTTACCAAAGGGCCAGCGGTATTCCATGGCAGTGTAGACGGCCCACAGTGGCAGAGTCAGCAAGAAGCATATGTCAGCCAGGGCTAAATTCAAAAGAAAAACACTGGCCACGGTCTTCAGTTTCATATAAAAATAAATGACGATCACCACCAAGCTGTTTCCAAATATTCCCACCACAAAGATGATACTGTATAAAGTAGGAATCATGACAAAGATGTAATTATGCCTTCCGGCTTTGGGACAGTCATCTTGGATTCTTTTAATACCATCATCGGTAGAAGAGTTGAGAATCATTATGATCTCCTAGGGTTGAATAGTGTACCAAATGCACCTGGAGAAAATAAAAATTATAGGGTTAAAAAATTATTTTTAAACTTTCTGTTGTCAACAGTAAGTTTTATTTTGTCAACTATAAATCCAGTAACTCAACTTTAGTCTTAGGAAAAAAGATTCAATCGTATTTTCTAGAGAAACACTGTGAACTGCTAACGTCGAAGATTGTACATTTGATTCTTAGAACTTACTGCTTTTGTATAAAGCAAAAAGTACCTTCCAGAGAAATGCAAGTGAGGTCCTGGGTGAATAACCTACCTCGGTTCTTTTCATTTTTTAAGATAAGTAAATTCTAGCTTCTGCATTGATTAAAGACATAACCTAAATCTTCAACAACACAGTGAATTAGCTATTCAGAAAGACTTAAAAAGTTTTTCCTGAGGTAAGCAAAGCTAATTAATTTATCTTTGGACTTAGAAGTGTGACACATCTGTACCTTATTCTTTAAGCCATTTCTTTCATCTCACAATCTTTACTTAGGTATAAAAATTATTAGCATCCTCCTTTAAGTGGTCAAACTAGCTGCCTTTAGGTTACAGAGGAATTGGGCATTGTGGGATAAGATTTAAGAGGGGGAGGCGGGAGGGCGCAAGCCTTTGGAGAATAGCAGCCTTTCCCTGGTTTTCTAGGCCTTACAGGCAGTAACTAACCCCTTATCTTTAACATCTGACTCTGTCTAGCAAAAGGGCTTGAATCCTTACCTCTCAAACCTGCCGGCTATTTCTGAATTTAACTCTGAGGTTAACCATTTCTACAGTAAAGATGTCGAATGAGTAGTTTGAGCATGTCCTCAGGGAGGGCTGAGATAACAGCAGTTCTTTAGGATTTTAGGAAGAATCAGATGCTCAGGAATGAGCTCCCGGTACCTCTAATATTCTACATAATCAACAATCAAGCTGTTCATTTATGCGATTTAGAAAATCAGCCTGTTCTGCCTTAGATGAGAGTCCGTCAGGAAGTCCTGGGAAGGAGGCTGAGGATCCTGTGGGAATGACGTGACAGGGGGTGGTGCTGGCACTCTCTGAGGGGCAGGTTGGCCTTGGGCAGAGGTGAGGACAGCCAGGCAGGCCGAGGTGCAGGGCACACAGACCCACTGCTGCACCAGCAGCAGGGTCCCCGAGGAGCGGGGCTGTGCATTCTCCTGTAGCAATGGGCCCTGGGAAGAAGAGGCCCAGACACAGGGCGTGACTGCTCTGCCCAGCGTGGCTGTGCTGGGCATCCAGGACAGCTGAACATGTTCTCAGTGTCCACCTTGGTGCAAAAAGGTGCTGGCACCAGATGAGACCCCAGTAGTTGGCCATTAAGGGATAGCACAGGCAGATAAAAGGCTGCTTACATGGTCTTTCTGCCTTCTTGAGGGAGTGAAGTTATTCCTCTCTCCAACTTTTTGGTTCCACATTCTTTTTCCTCTTTGTATTTAGCCTCATATAATCTAAATCCTGTTTTTTTTTTTCCACTCATGGGGACATTAGCCTCTATGGAGAAGTAGTATCTACCACAAATGTCACATCTTCTGTGACCTTCCCAACTTTCCTGAGCTGCTTTGGCACCGGGGATACAGGTTTTGACACTTTATTATAATTGTCTGTTGAGACACCGGTTTCCCCCACTGGTCTGCTTGAGGGGAGGGTCTGTTTTAAATCACCTTTACTGTGTAGGTAGGCTCTGGCGCTTCCCAGGAGACAGAAGATAAATGTCTCCTGAATGAGAGAGTGGGTGGGCAGAAGGATGGGTGAAAGTGTATATGTAACTCAAATGCTGGGAGCAGAGAGTATTGAGAGTAATCTCTATGAGGCGTCCGAAATCAATTCTACCTTCCTCCTTACAGAGTCTCAGAGAAAACACCCCGTGTCAATCTCAGCCTCACTTTGGGCAAGAAAACAAACAAACAAAATACACAAAATAAACAAGCAGAACCCCCCTTTATGCTTTTATCTGTAGTTGAGACCACAGAAGATGAAAGAAGGGATCATTTAGCAGAAACTCGCGCTAATGTACGGAGGTGTGATCAGCTGTTCCTCATCCAGAGGATTTCTCTACATCTTGTTAATTTTTCAGCTCATTTTATTATAGTTACTGACTTTAAGCCAATTTAGAAGTATAAATTCATTTATACATGTATAAGTAAATATTTTTTATTAAAAATTCATTAGCTATTAAAGGTTTAGGGCCTAGCAGTCACTCACAGCCTACTATTTGCTATTCTGTTAATATCTAGTTGAGATTAGACAGATTTTGCTTAGGGGAAAATTAGAAATGTCAAGGTTAAAAAACCTCAGAGTTTAACAAGGGCCTGGGTGAACTCCATAGCTGAAACTCAGGGCAGAGGCAAACATTTCTTTCGGCTTCGGCATTAGGGCAGTAAAAAATAGGAAGGAACAGCCTTTCCCCATTAGAATCCCTTGCGTGCCCTGAGCTGTGAGATTAGGGAGGAGATTCTCCTGTCCTTTCTCTTTCCTCTCTTGATGCTACTTTGGGGGCCGACAGCTACATGCATATTCACATTGGTTCCATTAATCCTATGTTTGGAACGAGTTGAATTTTATTGGCTGTAAACTGTAAGAGGCATTAATAATAGAACTTAGATGGGAACAAATTCACATTTGTAAGGACCAATTCACAAACATAATTTTGGACTCCAATTCCTTCACAAGCTGAAGTCAGCCTCTTCTTCAGTGACCATGGATCCATACCGACAAATATTTAATATTGAAAATATTGTTGAACAGCTAGAGGAACGTCCCTGGAAACGTCTTGTTTTTTTTTCCCCTAGGAAACTTCTTGAGGTGTTTATTATCTTAATGAGTATATCACTCGACAGACTCTGGACGTAGCATTGAATATCCTAATTAGAAGAAGAGTTTGCCTACTTGTTTGTTCATGACAGAGACAACCTACCTAGGGAGGAAACAAGTTTTCTCACAGCTGAGGGTGGAGGAAAAAGAAAGAGAGGAATTTTAGGCGATAGAAACAGCAGAGGCGAGCACAGGGAAGCAGACACACAAATGGTATATTCAGGGGGAATTTGACCGTTCATAACATATTCCCTGGGCACCTGCTATGGGTGAGAGTCAGGATGGAAACTGAATAGTCACATGAGATGTTAGGAATGACTTCACATCCTGCTTTCTCCTCCTGTGCACTGTTAGAGTAAAGCTGGGGGTTGGGGGGAGGACAGAAGGCTTACAGGGAGAATCATATTCAGTGTATTAAAAGTTAATTCAGTGTATTAAATATTAAAGGTATGTGGAATAGTCTGTGTTTATCGTTGACTCCGTTTAGTGGGGAGTACAGGGTGGGGGAGAGGGAGGGGGATCAGAAAATGGCCCTTGGATTTGGGAGCATGTGTGGGGAACAGACGGGTTAAAACTTAAAGGAGGCCAGCTAGCCAGCCAGCGCAGAGATTGTGCCATTACTTGAACTTTTCCCTCTTGGCCAATGCCTGCAGCATCATCTATGGGAAGCAGCTTTTGTAAATTTACAAATATGTTGCAACCTCCTGGGGAATGTGGGATCTGAATGTGCACTGGGTATTTCTGAATGGAAGGGTGACAGAGGCCATTCCCCAGTCTGCACTGCTGGTGCTGCTAAGTCTTCCTAGAGAAAATTGGTTTTCAGGGAAGAGGGAAAGATGGGATTCTTGGGAAGTGAAGCTACATTCTACTGATGATCAATTAGTGGTAAATAATGGAGTTGCTTCTCTTTGAAGCTGAAAGGAAGCTGTTTTAGTGAGAAACTGAAGGAGAGAGATGTGATCTGTTAGGAAAATCAAACTTGTGAGTTGAAGAAAACGGCTGGGAGGCAGCTTCCTATCCCGGAAGGATGATAGGTGGGCAGAACACTGATAAAACCTAAGAGGATCCATCTCTTCTTATGTTTCCCAAGTCTGGGTCTTGCTATAGCATTACGCATGCTCTGGAATGCTTATCGTGATGGACAGCTCAATAACCCATCTTGCTCAACAAACCATTCTCTTTACTGTTCCAATTTTATAATTCAGACTCTGAAGAGCAGCCATTTACCCTGAAGGAAAAGAATATGGGTTTGTAGTTCATAGATGTGATATGGAATATTTGCCATGTGCAAATATGTGCGGCTCTGGGGGCCATCCCATTTCTCTCAATATGAGCCTCAGTGTTTTCATCTGTAAGAAATAAGAATAGCGATCGCCTCTCAGCTGCTTGGCTAAAAGCAAGTGTAAGAAATAAGAACAGAGATTTTTTTTTTTTTAAATTAAATCATAGCTGTGTACACTAATGCAATCACAGGGTACAGAGTGATGTTTTCATATGCAATTTGAAATACTCTCATCAAACTGGTTGCTGTAGCCTTCATGTCATTTTCTTAGTTATTGTGTTAAGACCTTCATACTCTGCTTTTAGAAAGATTCACTTGTACCCAAGAACAAAGATTTTTATTCCACATGATTATTGTAGGAATAGAATGAGATAATGTGAAAGCATTGAGCATATCATTCAAACAGTGATTAATCTATTACTCAAATCTATTATTTGAATCTTTACTATTATTTTTTGAATCTAAGGCAAGCACTGACTCAGAATAGCCATGGGTCAGGAAGGTGTGAGAGATTTAAAAAAAAGAAAAAAGGTTTATCATTGGTAAGTTCTTTCTGGTGCTGTTAAAAGGCTAAAAATTCCAAACTGTTGTTCTTTTGAAGTGAGAGTAAAAAATAATCTTAAGCAGCTGAATAAATTTGCCATGGGTCAGGTGGGAACCTTCAGCCTGTTGCAAACACAGCAGTTAGCTCACTGTGACTAAACCATATTTGTTTACTGATTGCTTTTGCAAGAGTTACCTTGTTTTCATTGATAACTTTCCTAGTTCCAAAAACTAAGCATAAGAATTTTTTTATTCTAAGACTATTTCCCCAAAACTTTTGATTAAAATATTAATACCTTCTTAAGCTTTCAGGCAATCTAGAAACAATCTAATTAAATTGTTTATTACAATCTCCTTTTTAAGTGAGCTTGCAATCCAAGAGAAAAGAAATACCTCATAGTTTCCTATGATAAAAAAGACAGAACTAAAAGACTAATTATATTTTGGAAAAATCTTTGATCAAAGTATGTTTCTCAAATACCAAAAAGAGTAGGCCATTATTTGTAAGTCTTTTTCTTGTAGTGCTGGACAGCTCAGTAAATAAACCACCTTGTTCAACAAACCACTCTCTCTACTGTTCCAATTGTATAATTCAGACATTAAGGAGCAACTGTTTCTGCTCTTGTGTTTCCTCCCTCACCTCCTTCCCAGCAATTCTGCAGGGAACAACTGTTAGTATTCATTGTGGATTTATTGACTTATAGAAGAAGCAGCATTAAAATTTTTAGGGTTTCTACTTTTTCAAATCCTCTTATTTCTTACCTCCTACTCCTGTTTTATTAAGTCTACCTTTTCCTTTATCTCCTTTAACATCTTAGATATCTGTATGTTAAGAGCCATGTCCTAGTTGCTTTTCCATTTGTAGTTCCTCGGGTATAAATTCGATGTATTGCCCCTGTAGATGTAGATTCTTGGTATTTGTAATCTTTCACTGTGAGTTCAACTTTGGTGGGAATTATCTTCCTTATGAAGCATTTGTGTCTGGATGGTGGCAGCCTGCAATACTTCAGCTTGGGCATACGACACTCCCTTGACCTGGAAAAGTTTTAAACGCCAATTTCCAAGCTTAGTTTTCAATCTCCCAAATTTTTTTTTTGCGGACACTATAGATTAGGCCCTCCTCCCACACTCAAACAATTTTGGTCCCAAATAGGGAGTACTATTCCAGTTCCTGGCTTTAAGTAGGAAATACAGTTTCAATTGCTTTTAGGGCAAACGTCTACTGACTCTGACTTTTATACTGGCAAAGTCATTAAACCGTTATCTCAGCTGTGCACCTGATGTTGGCCTTTCTCTGGCTTTTGTGGTCTTAATCTTATGGCACACTTCTCGGGGGCAGGATACAAGTATAACAGGGACTTTATCTAACAAATGCAATCAGTGTAACCTAATTCTTTGTACCCTCAATGAATCCCAAACAATAAAAAAAAAAAAAAATCAGAGCTGTGATTTGGCATTTTGTGTTTCGGGTAGGAAGGAGATCTCCAGGCCTGCTTAGTCCCTTGTCTTCATCTTGACTGAAGATGTCCTCCAGTCACAGCCTATGATGGACCATCCAAGCCTTTCCTGGCTGCACTTGCCTCCATACTGTTAATTCTGGCAGCCACGAGTAGGGAGCATGGCAGAGCACCTGGCACCGAGCGAGGGACAAGTTGACTAGAATCTCCTTCAAGTCAGATGAGTGAGAGAAAGCCATGCTCTTGGTTGATAACTCTGGCCTAACTTCTCTATGTTAAATGCTTTTTAGATGATTTTGCTCACCCTTTTAATTTCTGGATGAATATTTCTCTAGGATGCGAAACATTTATTAAAATTATTAATGTCATACTAATTAAGCATTCAAGATCTAATCTCCTGGAACTTAATAAATAGCTGTGTGATATGTCTAAGTGGTAAATAGCAGTTTCTGGCCTTCATCCCAAGTCAGTGTCAGCCACTGTGGTCTGACCTCCTGAAAAATGAAAATGAGCTGAACTAGGTTCTTAATTCTGCATGTAGCCAAGTGTGACCCACTGTGGTGATGGTGGCTAAATGTTCTGTCATTCTCAACTAGCCTCTCCCTTGGCTTTATCTCAAATAACCCTAGAACCCAGAGAACCCAGCTTTATAAAAGGAAATTCGGAAATTCCTTTCAAATTAGGGCATCCATTTCAAGGAAAGTAAAATGTGAACCTCACATTTTATCTTCCTGGAATTATTGAAAATGATGATGTAATGGGACTCTACACTACAATTAAATTTTACTCCAGAAATTTCTGTGTATTATAAATTATTGTTTAAACAACTTCATCACAATGCATGTCCCAAAGTCTTCCCTTCATCACTGTCTCAACTCTTGGCTGTTTTTGTTGTTTTTATTTCAAAAAGAAAAGAGAAACAGGTGGGGATGAGAGATATGTGATCGAGTCTAATTTGCATGCTTTAAAAGTCTTCCTTTGACATGTCGGTGTTTGCAGAAAATATTGTTATTAAGTAGGAAAGGCCATGAAAGGCATTTTTAGGGAGCCTGGAGAGAAGAGACCCCAGAGACCAGGGGAAAAGGTAGACAAAACCTAATTGGAAGAAAGCCTGTAAATAAATAAATTCCTGTCCTCTTATACTCTCAAATTTTTCAAAGTTATGGATTCAACAAATTTCCCCCCCTAGAATTATGACTACATTTCAATGAATCAGCAGCTCAGCCATCATGGGGGAGAAAACATCATTTTAAGGAATATGCCTTTTGGAGACGGCTCACAGGCTTCTCAACAATGAAAAAGGCAGCACCATGTGGGCTTCTCAGCCAATAACAGCTGCCTCATCCAACTTGAGAAAGCCCTGCATTTCATATGTGAAGCCAATTCACTCTTATTCCCTTGAAACTTTAATTCAAAAACAGAAATTGCTGATCTCATTTCAAATTCCACTTCAAGGGGTCTGAGGATAGTCGTTGGGTAGGAAAAGCAGCGCTAATTAATTTGAGCCCTTAAGAAATTATGATAATATTATAGAATTTATATGTATTATGAGTTTTATGTTAGAGATTATGGGCCACATGGCAATTCATTTCAGCTTAAAGCTTTTAGCATTATACAAATCACATAACCATGAATTTTAAATGAAGCTAGAAGGAGTAAATATTCACTATACTGTACATGTTCATCTGAATTGCTCAATGTTCTGATTGTAGCAGGATTATTTCTAGAATGATAGTTTGCAGATTGGTCCTGAAAAGGTGGAAGGAGGCTAAGGTCCTAATTTTGGCTTTCCCACCTGGTGACCTTGAACCCATCACTTAGCATCCTCAGACTGCTGTATCCTCAGGGAGTTGGGTGAATAATTAAAAAAAAATCATAATTTTTTTTGAATAGGTATGTCTTCTTTGAAGACAAAGCCAATATGGCTTTACCAGTGGAAATGAAATAGACATTATTAAATAAATTATTTATGTTTATCTATGTATTTTTAATCCCACATTACTGTAATAGTATTCTATATTAAACATAAGAACTCTCTATTAAAATCAACAAAAGTAAAATAATTTTACTTTTTATTCAGGATGAATAAAGAAACTCCATGTAAGATTATAGTCACAGTTTTTTTTTTCTTTCTTTTAAAAAATGAACTATTACTCAAATGTTTCCCAAGCACAACATTGGACAGCCACTGAGGCCCTGGGCTAATGAAGTCAGTGTTATGGGTTTGGGCCCTGCGAGTCTCTCAGACATCTCTGGTTTTGTCACTGGCATTACCAGGTGAAAGAGATTAGTCCAAGCTTGAAAATAAAAATTAAAAGCATGTCTTGAAATTAGGGAGTCGAAATTACATTGTCCTATTGGGGGGGGAGGACAAAGTTTAGAATGAACCTGCTCTCGGATTCCTTATGGGAAAATACAAGTTTTTAAAGTTTAACAATTCATTTATGTGGTTCAGTTGCCCAGATAAAATCAGAGGTGAGGGCAGAGTTTCACTCATCTTAAAGAAACTCTTCTTAAGGATCGTTTAGTATTCTAAGTATTATGCAACATTTTGAGGAATTAAAGCAACTCTGTTTTAAGAAAATAAATATCATAAGGCTAATATTTGTTTCATTTTATCAAAAATTTCATTTTTCTGAATTTTTTTGGATACATTATACTCTTTACTTTTTTTTTTTTTTTTTTTTTTTAACATTTAAGTGCTATAAAACTTGAGGGGTAGCAGAACATTTCGGCAGAGACAGCAGTGGACTGGAGTCCTGGCAAAAAGTCTGTCCTTCCAGTAACCAGTGATACAATTTTACACAGGTAACTTAATCTCCTATTTCGTCATCCCTTAACTATTGCAAACTATTTAGATGGGAATACCAACACCTGTTCTCACTTCTATTTCATAGATTGTTAAAGGGAAAATGTGAGGTCCCTGGAAGACAAAAACATTCTGGAAATACAATCTTTCTATAATACAAGGAAAAGTGAAATGAATTTCATGAAAGCAAGCTCAGACCTTCAAGAGATAAATTGAATTTTTGTATTCAGAAATTCACAGGAATATTTTCATTATTAGAATCTAATGCTCTTATTTCACGAATTATAACAAGGTACTTGATTAAATGCTAAAAGAAAAGTAAAGCTATAGATGTTAGATTGTGTCTACATTTAATACTTGGTGACAGCAAAGGTTTCTGAGTGCAAACTGGGCCTTTTGGCCGAATCTAACCAACAGACATATTTTCTTTGGCCTCCAGAGTATTTGTGTCTTTTGAGATTTGAATTCTCTGTAGTTCACTAATCTTTATAATTCTATATTTTCTGATTTTTAAGGTCAGTGCTGTCCAAAAGAAATCTAACGTGAGCCAGATATACAGTTAAAAAATTTCTAGTAAAAACATTAAAATAAAAAATGGATGAAATTACTTTTGCTGGTATTCTTCAACCAACCTAATATATCCACACTTTCATCACTTTAACATGTAATCAGTGTGAAGTTATTGAAATATTTTGCTTTTTCTGTACCATGTTTTCAAAATGCAGAGTATAATTTGTGCTTTCTGCAGGCCTCAGTTGAGATCAGCCACGTTTCAAGTGCTCACCATCACCTGGGGCTGGCGACAGCCATGATGGACAGCAGAGTGTGGGCATTTAACCTCCTGAAGTCCTCTCTCTGTCCCTACAGCAATGGTTCTGAAAGTTTGGTCCTGGAGCAGCAGTGTTAGCATTACCTGGGAATTTGTTTGTGTGTTTGGTTGGTTGGGGTTTTTTGAGACAGAGTCTCACTATGTCACCCTCAGTAGAGTGTCGTGACGTCATAGCTCACAGCAACCTCCAATTCTTGGGCTTAAGCAATTCTTTTGCCTCAGCCTCCCAAGTAGCTGGGACTACAGGTTACAATGCCCAGCTATTTTTATTTTTAGAGATAGGGTCTCTCTCTCTTGCTCAGGCAGGTTTCGAACCTGTGAGCTCAGGGCAATCCACCTGCCTTGGCCCCCCAGAGGGCTAGGATTACAGGCGTGAGCCACCATGCCTGGCCTCACCTGGGAATTTGTTAGAAATGGAAATCTCAGGCCCCGTCCCAGACACATTGAATTAGGAGCTCTGTGGGTGGGTCCAGCAAGCTGTGTTGGATGAGCTCTGCAGGTAATTGTGATGCACACTAATATTTGAAAAACACTTCCGTAGAGGCAACTTAATTTGGAACTCTGCTTAAATGATGATGTTGGTTACACAGGCGAAAAGAAACCCAACACACAACTAAACTAACCTCAGCTAAAGCGTTTTCACTTAGGCCTTTATGAGGCATCAAAAAATGAAAGTATGAGACATGCTTACTCATTAACTTACACATTAAAAGAATGTGTATTTATTTTACACATTCAGGACTGGTGTAGTTAAGATGAGCCCAACAAGATGTTGTCTAGTAAAATACTCACAAATGTCTGAAATTCTGTTGATACTCATTTCCATAGCATCATTAGAACTATGATGGGAAGGGACCATCATGGCTCAGGCGAGAGCTAGAGTTAGGGTAGTGGGAAGAGGCCAGTGATGGAACCAAGAGATATGAATCAAACACATGATGTACCTCTTATGAGCTATTGAGTTTTTGACTTTTCATTTAACCTGTGACTCATTTTCTTCATCTGGAAAACAAGGATAATGATAACATTCATGATGACGATAATCATGTAGTAAATACCTGTCTAGTCTGGCTCACAAAATTGGTGGGAACGTCAAATGAGATTGTGTATATGGACGTCCTATGAGATCCTAGAACTTTGGTACTTCCAATGGTGTTATTAAATTCACACTATGGTGTAAATGACTATTTTTTTCTCTTGCAAACAAATTTGGATAAGAGAGACTGGGAAACTGCACGTAGTGCCAGAAATGGAAGAAATGAACATGCCCACAGGGATGGAAAGACCGAGGGGAGGCTGACAGGGCCTTGCTGAAAGGCTGCTTGGACTTTGCCAGCTCCACTGCGGATACTACACCACTGATTATAGTAGAAAATGTAAACCATTCTATCTACTATTATTTACCATCCTGCTTCTTTTCTATGTTGGGCTACTTGTGGTTTCTAATTAAACAGCCTATGATAAGAGGAACGGATGCTGGGCTAATAAAAGGTAAACAACACTTTGCCAACTGAAAAATAAGAGGAGATACCAGTGACTGCTGCTTCCTGTGAAAACTTCATTAGCAATAAATGAGTTGCCAGATGTCACACATCAGATTTGAAATTAAAATATATTCCCAGTATTTCTGTGCAGTCTGAACAGGAGTTAAAAAAAGGAACTCTTTCCAAGAGATCTGCATAGGATAGTGTAGCATTTTTGCCTTTTGATTG